CCACTTACGACGACTCGACCTGGCAACATATAACGCACGCACCCTGAGGACTGACGAGAAGATTGTGGAGCTGGAAGAAGAGATAGACAAGTTACACTGGCATATTATAGGATTATCCGAAGTCCGAAGAGAGGGGGAGGAAACGGTAATCCTCGAATCCGGCAACTTGCTTCAATGCTTGCTTGCTGCAAAATTACCGGGAGGGCGACATTCTGTCCCAAGGAGGTGTCGGATTTATCGTCCACAAGTCTCTGGTTAACAACGTTGTAAAGATTGAGAGTGTGTCGACGAGGGTTGCGTACCTTATACTCAGAATCACCAAACGGTATTCGCTGAAGGTCATACAGGTTTACGCACCAACCTCGGGACACCCCAATGAGGAGGTGGAGGAAATGTATGAGGATATCTCTAGAGCCATGCATTCCTCCAAAACCCAATATACGGTGTTAATGGGAGACTTCAATGCAAAACTAGGCACAAGAGAGAATGGTTAGCTGAAAGTAAGGAAATTTGGAATAGGGCAACGGAAATCAAGGGGCCAACAGCTGGCCGACTTCATGGAAAAAGAGGGACTCTTTATGATGAACTCTTTCTTCCAGAAGCGGCCCCACAGGAAGTGGACCTGGTTGAGCCCCGACGGTTCGACAAAAAATGAGATTGACTTCATTATGACGACCAGACGACAACTGTTCAGTGATGTCTCAGTGATCGCGAGGGTGAAAACCGGCAGCGATCACCGAATGGTTAGAGGCACACTGAACCTAAACGTTAAGTTGGAGAGGTCGCGTCTAATGAAGTCAACGTTCTGTCCCCCTCGTGCTCCAACCCAAAGTCCCGAAACCTTTCAGCTCGAGTTACAAAATCGTTTTCAGTGCCTAGAAGACTGCAATGAAGTGGACGATATGAATGACAAGCTCGTGGAAACTGTCCATTCGGTCGGAGCTAAGTTATGCAAGACCCGCCGCAGAACAACACAAAAACTCTCCGATCACACTCTTAATCTCATGGCTGTTAGAAGGGAAATGCAGCTACATTCTTCAACAGATTTGACAGCATACAGGCAACTGAACAGACAGATCTCCAAATGCATGCGGCGGGACTTACGCAACTTCAATACAGCTCGTATTGAAGAAGCGATCAAGCGGAACCAAGGCTCCAAAGTCTTTGCCAGAGATCTGTCTGTCAGAAAGAGCCAACTGTCAAAGCTGAAGACAGAATGTGGCAGCATCGTTTCCGGGGCACCTGAGATTTTGAGTGAGATTGAGAGGTTCTATGGGCAGCTGTACACGTCATCGTTGGAACAACACGCAAGTGTGAGTAACGATCCAAGAGCGAGTCTTATCTGACACTATTCCGATGATATCCCGGACGTCAGTCTAAGCGAGATTAGAATGGCTCTCCAGCACCTTAAAAACGGCAAGGCCCCAGGCGAGGATGGAATTGGAATTACAGTGGAGCTTCTGAAAGCGGGTGGAAAACCGGTCCTTCAGAAGCTCTTTAATTCCGTCCTCCATGGTGGCATTACACCGGAGGCGTGGAGCAGAAGTGCGGTGGTCTTGTTCTTCAAGAAAGGCGACAACGCTCTCTTGAAGAACTACAGACCGATTTCCCTTCTGAGCCGCGTCTACGTGCTGTTTTCGAGCGTCATTACGAATCGTCTCGCGCGCAGACTTGACAACTTCCAACCTCCCGAACAAGCCGGTTTCCGAAAAGGCTTTAGCACCATAGACCACATACACACCCTTTGGCAAATTGTACAGAAGTCACAGGAGTACAATTTGCCACTATGTCTGGCGTATGTGGACTATGAGAAAGCCTATGATTCCGTCGATATTTGAGCGGTGCTGCAGTCCCTTCAGCGGTGCCAAGTGGACTGTCGGTATATCGAAGTGCTGAAGTGCTTGTACAGTAGGGCTACGATGGCTATCCGAGTACAGAACCAGAGTACGAAACCTATCTAATTGCAGAGAGGTGTAAGACAGGGTGACGTCATATCCCCGAAACTCTTCACCGCTGCATTGGAAGACGTTTTCAAGCTTCTGGACTGGAAAGGATACGGTGTTAACATCAATGGCGAGTACATCACTCACCTTCGATTTGCCGACGATATAGTCCTTATGGCAGAATCGCTGGAGGACCTAAGCACTATGCTCAATGACCTCAATGGTGTCCCCAACGGACAGGTCTTAAGATGAACATGGACAAAATAAAGATCATGTTTAATGTCCATGTCACACCTATGCCGGTAGTTGTTGGGAGCACTAAGCTCGAAGTTGTTGACGAGTATGTTTACCTGGGACAAATAGTCCGACTAGGTAAGTCCAACTTCGACCGAGAGGTCAATCGACGGATTCAACTCCGTTGGGCAGCGTTCGGGAAATTACGGCACATCTTCTCGTCAGGTATACCTCAAAACTTGAAAATGAGACTGTACAACCAGTGCGTGTTGCCAGTGATGACATACGGTACTGAGACGTGGTCCTTCACTGCTGGCCGGATGAGGAAGCTCAAGGTCTCTCAGCGAGCTATGGAGAGGGCTATGCTCGGAGTTTCTCTACGTGATAAACTCAGAAATGAGGATATCCGCAGTAGAACCAGAGTGACCGACATAACCCAACGGATTAGTGAACTGAAGTGGCAATGGGCCGGCCATATAGCTCGAAGAACCGATAACCGATGGGGAAGAAAGGTTCTCGAGTGGCAGCCTCGTACCGGCAGGCGAAGTGTTGGGCATTCCCCCACTAGATGGAGTGACGACCTGGTAAGATATACAGGAAGTCGATGGATGCAGGTGGCTCAGGGCCGTGCTTTGTGGCATTCCTTGGGGGAGGCCTATGTTCAGCAGTGGACTTGTGAAGGGCTGTAATGATGATGATGATGATGAATATTATACCAAATTTTATTCTGTAAACCGCAAAGGCAAGCTCAACGCCCCCTCGTCGGACCCCTAGTCTATAGAAATCAGGCCCCAACTATAGTAAAAGTCTAAATAAATTCTTATTATTTTTTATTTAATTATGATGATCTTTCTTAACAATTCTAACCGTGGCCTAACAAACCATATACTGCGAAATAAAAATTACGATACTGCTAGCGTACAACTAATTTAAAGCATTCACTATAGTAATATATATATATAATAGTCTCGTCAGTTCGTTTATATTAACGGGCTTGCTATAAAATCTGAGAAAGAATCAGTTACCATATCAAAGACACAGGACACAATAGGTAACCAAAAGTTAAAATTTGTGAAGAACAAATTTTAGCCTAGATCCAGCCGAACTAGAATCCGAACTCATGATCCACATTCCACAATAAAAAATTTTTTGCTTTTGTCAATTATACTTGTAATTTTACTATTAGACTATTACCATTGTCATCCAGCAAGTTAATTGAGCCTTTGGGTAACATGGGCTTTCATTAGGGACTGCCCTGATCACAACATACTTAGCTAGAGCTAGAGCTTTCTTTTGACGCTATAGCCCATCGCCGCTAATATGTAGACTGATTTTGATCTAACATTATAGTATACGAGATAGCTATTCTGCAATGTATCTGAAGCCACAGTATCCTAGCACTTTCCATAATTAACTTTACTCCCTTTAGAAAATGGAGGTGATGGTTTCCCATATGACACGGTGAGGTGTGATTTTATGTAAATACAATATACGAGTATTTATTCGTACAATGGTAAGAAATAGATCTAAAATTTCTTGGCGATATATTATAAAGAAAAAATAGAATTGTGTAAATCCAAAACTTAACAATAAAATGAACAATTTTAGTGATGGCGTCTCCTGGTAGTGATCAACTGCTTGAGCACTAAGCTACATACAATATGAAGCCCACTGATGCACAGTAGAATAACGTGACTGAATATTTTCTTCTTCAACACCCATTCGAAATTGCGGGAAACCTGTATTCCGCACAGTTTTCCGAAATTTCATCTTTCATCCGATTGAAGGGTTATCTGTGCCGATACACGATTTAGATCAAGTCCAATTGCATTGGTCGTTAGAGGAATGTAAAAAATACGGATGTTGTGATAATATCTCATAACATCTATCAAATCTACCGATTGGTAGTTCTTTTTAGGGTTCCGTACCTCAAAAGGAAAAAACGGAACCCTTATAGGATCACTTTGTTGTCCGTCTGTCTGTCTGTCTGTCTGTCAAGACCCTTTTTCTCAGGTACGCGTGGAGGTATCAAGCTGAAATTTATATCAAATACTCAAGTCTACTGTCCCTTGGAGCTGTGAAAAAATGAACCTTCTAAGCCAACGAAATCAAAAGATACAGCCGTTTATGCCGCAAATTTTCGACATTCACAATGGAATCAAAACCTACAGGGTATTTCCCGTGAACTCAGAATCTTAAAATTTGGTACAAAGCAACGTATTATAGCACAGATAAAGGAAAAATTGCGAAAAGCATAAATTTTTAGTTACATCATACAATAAAAATATTTTTAATAATTTTTAACTTATATACCTACGGATTTGTTCGGAACCCTCGGAGCGCGAGTCCGACTCGCACTTGGCCGGTTTTTTTCTATAAATGTGCTAATTTAAAACGCTTTACTTCGTAAGTACGTAATAAGCGGATCCCCAACAATCAAGTTCCAATTTATTTTAGCAACGTATCAAATAACATTTTATAATATCTCGAACAATAGAAATGTAATACATGTAACAAATTAATTTTCCCACATGCCCTTAAAGTAATAACATCCTTTTGTGTGTAAACAGTATCTATTACTTATTCAGCTAAAGACACGTATGAATGATCCGGCGTCACAATATTTAAAAGCTCATTGGTGCGTGCGCCCCATTGATTGTGGTATATGATAACATCTATGATAATTTAAGGGTCGCATCCCTGTTTACTCTTAAAATTTTACTAGGCGGGGCTTGTCTCCAGCCCCGCCTGCTTTTGTTAAGCAAACTATTAAGCAGGCGAATGTAAAATCTCCTTTTAAACGAAGTTTAGACAGCAAACGTCATGGATTCGTCTTCATTGCATTCGGACTCTAAGTGCAACTCGGATTTTAGTATAAAAAGGATTTTAGGAAACGATACTGAAAGTGTTCGTGAGGATGTGGCAACACCAAGCTGGTTATGTTGCACGCGATACAGACCTCCACGATTACCAAGTGAGATATTTTATTGTTATCTATTTAAATATACAATTATTTCGTTTTCTAATACGAAACAAGGTACATTATATATAGAAAAAAAAAAACATGATTAAATGCTTTTAACTTTTTGCATAATATAACTAACGTTTGTGATAATAATATAAAATTAAAAAAATATTGCATTACATACCTAATATTATACGAGTAGTACATAATAGCAGCTTCTATTGGCAAATCTTTTCTCTAGAAACCCTTACACTAATGAGACATAGGTACCTAGTACAACAAGTAACTAAGTATTAGACCTAAATAGGTACATAGGTTTATAATTATTAACTAGTTTGCTTTACTTTAAAACTACGGTAAATTTATTTACAAAATAATATTAAATTAATATGAATTTAATTATTTTAACAATCTGCGTCGGATAGTCAGGCATGTTTACAATTAACCTTGTTACGTTAATTGCTATGTAACAACCGCGTGACTTAATGTTCAAAATATCCCGATAACTTAGTTACGCATTCTAGACTCTCAGGTTCGAATTCCAGCCGGTGTTAACATTTGTTCAAATACACATATAATTAATCTGTCACTGACATTGCATCTGGCCGTCCTCCGATCTTAAAGTTTATTGCGTTACGACGGATTACCATTGGGTAAAAAAAAGATAAATTAAATTCATTGTTTGATCACTTATTTCAGTTTGCTCAAGATGTGATTCAAATCTTCAACAAACTGAAGTGATCAAGCCTAAACAGTGTTCCTCAATGGATTACTGGTTACTGGTTACTATTTAGGTTATTTTGTAAAGCAACACAATCACTACGAAATATAAGTATTTTGTGTCCCAATACAAGCTCAATTAATTTTCATTGTTGGCGAACAGTGCCAGCGGTTACCTTCTCGTAACCTTCCCAACGACATTAAAATATCCCTACTCAATATTATTTATTTAATTTTGATTCATCCAATTCTTTAATATGACTCTGTGACTGAGAGTGTAGATTGGTGTAGATATAAACATCTACACCAATCTACACTCTAAGCATTGACGCGCCTGGGCAAACATCTTGATCCGGAACGATTATTTGCAGGTTAGTATGGCCTCAGGTTAGTATACATGGTTAGTCTATACGTGGTAGAGCCATGCTGCAGCTATAATAGTATAGTTGTAGCACGAATGCTTCGGCTCGACCGGGGAAGGACCACGCTCTCACACAATACCAGTGTAAAATAGCAGCTTAACGCTGCTGTGTTTCGTATGGTGAGTGTAGAGAATCGGAGATCCTTTTTACTAGAAAAGAGGCATTTCATCTTAGTCCTCAGGGGTGACAACGTATTTGTATTTTGATTCGTAATGGAGGATAAATGTAGATGTCTATGGATCATAGTAACCACTTACCATCAGGTGGACTGTATGCTCGTTTGTCACCCAATCCTATAAAAAAAATAGCTTTATCCGGAACTATTATTTGCAGGTTAGTATACATGGTTAGTCTGTACGTCGTAAAGCCATGTTACAGCTATATTAGTAGTATGCGACAAGCACGAATGGGTCGTCTCGACCGAGGAAGGACCACGTTCTCACATAATACCAACGTAAAATTGCAGTATAACGCTGCTGTGTTTCGTATGGTGAGTGTAGAGAACCGGAGACCCTTTTTACTGGAAAAGAGGTATTCCATCTTAGTCCTCACGGGTGACAACGCATCTGCATTTTGATTTTTTCTTGAGGATAGATGTAGATGTCTGTGTGCTCGTTTTTTATAGGATAGGGTGACTATCATATAAAAAAAATATCGCTCGTTCCGTGCAGAATTCGGATCCGCGATCCTGCAGCGACGACTAAAGTAGAAAATGAACGCTTATCAACTGAGATAAAATTCAGTTTTATTTTATAGGTTCTGTGTGATCTAATCGATTATTGCATACATCAAATGTTTCAGGAACTGTTAATAATACAGCGTGTCGACCGCGACGCTCCGGTCGGCACGCTCGAGTGCCGTTCACTGCAGCTCAGGCGGCAGCTTTAGAGGCCGCATACTCTCGAGCACCGTACCTGGCTCCACCGGCTCTTCGTGCCCTCGCTGCTGCATTACAGCTCCGCGACGACAGAGTAATTAATATTTTTTCTTATTCACCAGCCTATAAATAGTCTACAGCTGACGTACTAGTGTAGATCCACGTTGCTGTATTATATTTGCAATACGTAAGGCTAAGCTCGACAGGGAAGGAACCACGTCCGCACAGAAAAGTAGCGTTAAAAGCGGCATGATGATGCTGGTGGGTGATGAAAATCGGAGACCCTTTTTACTAATAAAAATCTTTTTATCTAATCCTCAGGTTTGACAACACATCTTTGTTTTAAACGTGGTAGAACCACGCTACTCGACCGGGGTAGGGTTATGCTCTCACAGAATACCGGAGCCGAATTCAAATAATTCCTTTCTGTAGTGCACCGACAATAGTGAGACTATGCATTTAAAAGATATATTTTTTTATAGCAGAGGGGGCAAACGAGCATGCGGCTCACCTGAATGATGGTAAGTGACTACCGCCCATAATTAACTGCGACACCGGGGGAATTGCAGATGGGTTGTCGGCCTTTTAGGCCGGCCACATACATACGGAATTCCATTTCGGGATTCCGTTTCGATATTCCGATTCGGGATTACAAACGCAGCAAGTCCATATAAAATATATGACCCGCCACACACGTACGTTATTTTTCCGTACGGAATTTCTCCGATACGAAATTCCATATGACCGCCTGTGCGTTCGAGATCCCGAACGGAAAAAAGCCGCTCCGAACGCACGTCTTCCATAGATTTTGTACGAGTCGCAACACACATAGGCCCGCCATATACATACGGAATTCCGTTTCGAGATTCCGTTTCGGAATTCCGAACGGTCGGCCACACACAAACCGAATCCCGTTTTGCCCGCAAAATATCGAACGGAAAACTACCGTACGTGTGTGGCGGGTCATAGATTTTATATGGACTTGCTGCGTTCGGGATTCCGAATCGGAATATCGAAACGCAATCTCGAAACGGAATTCCGTATGTATGTGGCCGGCCTTAGTATGTAAATTCCGTACGGAATGCGCTCAGTGTTCGTCGCACGACCGAAGCGAGTAGTTGTATTTATGTATGTTTTTACATTTAATCTTGTAGGTGTATAGTTTTTCGTAACCTTTCATCTTATTTTATTTAATAATTCGTACCGAAAGAATTTACATACATAAATATTTAAACAATATCTCTGGATAGATAGATCTTTTTACATAATATTGACTATATTGCAAGCTTAGGGTGATAAGGGGATGCACCCAGTAACAATAATACAGCAACAATGGAATCGCAATTAGAAAATCGTCGTCATTATTCGCTGGTAGAATGTCTAGACTCAATGGCTAACGTCTCTCGACTCACCCTTGTTATTCCGAACGGAAAAAAGACGCGTGTGTGTGATGTATTCACGGAATCCCGATTCCGGATTCCGAAACGGAATCACGAAACGGAATTCCGTATGTATGTGGCCGGCCTTAGGCGTTTCGGGATTCCGTTTCGATATTACGATTCGGGATTCCGAACGCAGCAAGTCCATATAAAATCTATGACCCGCCACACACGTACATTATTTTTCCGTGCGGAATTTCTCCGATTCGAGATTCCGTATGACCGCCTGTGCTTTCGGGATCCCGAACGAAAAAAAGCCGCTCCGAACGCACGTCTTCCATAGATTTTGTACGAGTCGCAACACATATACGTAAATTCCGTACGGATCGCGCTCAGTGTTCGTCGCACGACCGAAGCGAGTAGGTGTGTTTATGTATGTTTTTATATTTAATCTTGTAGGTGTAAAGCTTTTCGTAACCTTTCATCTTATTTTATTTAATAATTCGTCGAATGAATTTACATACATAAATATTTAAAAAATATCTCTGGATAGATAGATCTTTTTACATAGTATTGACTATATTGCAAGCTTAGGGTGATAAGGGGATGCACCTAGTAAGAACAATGGAATCGCAACCAGAAAATCGTCATCAGTATTCGTTGGCAGAATGTTTAGACTCAATGGCTAACGTCTCTCAAATGACCCTTGTTATTCCGAACGGAAAAAAAACGTGTGTGTGTGATGTATTCACGGAATCCCGATTCCGGATTCCGAAACGGAATCACGAAACGGAATTCCGTATGTATGTGGCCGGCCTAAGTCTTATCGCCCCGGAAAAATCTCTGCTAGTAGTCCATTCCACAAGGAAGTTGTGTGTGGAAGGGAACTTCTTCTAAATCGCACAGTGGTGGACCGCCAATCATCCCGAAGGCATGGATGGTATCGGGAGATTAGTCGCGATGCGAAATGGTGAAATTTAGCGGCTGGAATTAGTACGAACAATTCCTCAGAGCACCCCCTTAAAAAATTCTAGAAGATGTTTGACTTCCTGTAACTTTAGTATATTTTTGTGGAATGTATGGTCTCCGCCTCTATTTTCTGTTACAAACCACCAGTTTATTTGCAAATTTCTGCAACTCTACACCCTGGTTTCATGGAAGACGTGTTGTCCTGTCTATAGTTTTAATTATACTGCTCTTTATTCCACACTTAACTCTAACATGTATTGTCATGGAGGTAACACTACACTACAGCCTCTTTTCCGATACTCCCACTCCCTAGGCGTAGTCCCGAATTCATGTAAGACAGCTTGGGTCCACTCGATCCCTAGAAAGTTGACAACTCAGACCTGTCCAACTATAGGCATATCGCCATCACCTCCTTGTTCTCAAAACTAATGGAATCCATTATAAACTGCCAGCTCATGAGGTACCTTGAGGACATGTGACATGGGAGCAGAGATACCACCAGAACGGTTTTCATGGGGCGATAAACTGGTGATCTTCTAGTCTACCTGACCCATAGATGGGCGGAGGCAGTAGAGTCCAAGGGGGAGGCCTTGGCCCCTACTTTGGACTAAGGGCTTCCCGAGAAAACCAGTTTCCTTGCAGATTGGAGCATCAAGGTCGTAGTAGACGGTACATGCTCCGATTGCCTAGTGTTTGTTCCACAAGGCTATCACTTAGCACTTCGATATACCGACAGTCAACTTGGCATCGCTGAATGGACTGCAGCACCGCCCAAATTTCGACGGAATCAAAGGCTTTCTCATAGCCCACATACGCCAGACAAAGTGGCATATTGTACTCCTCGGACTTCTGTACAGTTCCTTCTGCATCTCAGTGATATGTTTCAAACCATTAGCTATAAATATTTACATTGTAGTAAGCTTAAAAGCTCAAACAGATTTTTATACTAACATTATGATTTAACATGATTTAACTAGATTTAATTAGCCGTTTTTATTTTAAAATAATAATAAACAAAGGATATTAACTTATGTAATTTGTTTTAGATAAAAATTTGGTTCCAAAATCGTCGAGCAAGAGAACGGAGGGAAAAAAGTAGTAACATTACACCGCCTCAAGCTGTAACACTACCACCTACGTCTCCTCCGAGTTCAGCCGTTGTGTTACCAAACAGACCATGGGTTCCCAACTTAAATGTATATCCTTGTGAAACTCAAAGCACTAAAGTAGAAAATGAACCTATAAATACAACAGCACGATTACATCAAACGACATCTTTTGCAATACATTTACTTCGTTCTAACACTACTGGTATTACAAATTCCGAATTTGAATCTGATGAAGATCGATGTGATAGTCCTCTAGATATAGAAACTATAGCTGATTGATAAAAGAAGTAACAAGTTAAATTATTGCAAATAAATTATGTACAAGTCGAATTAAACAAAATATTTAATTAAATTCTAATTTAGGTACATTAATCTGGAACCTATTGCACACCTCATAACGCAAAGCATTATTACGAGTAGGTAGTGCTTTACTCTCGACACGTCAAGCAATTTTGTGTTTTTAAGATGCCTCTATAATAACCATATTGCATTTATAAGATAATATGAGTAGCCGTATATCAAGAAAACACTAATTAATCCATGTTAAATTTTCTAAAAATTCATTTTATATTGCTACTTTGTAAAAAAAACGGTTTGAAAAAAGAATTACGTGAATGTCCGGATTGATTTTGTATGTGATCACGATAACTGCCGAGAAAATTGACGACACTTTTTACTGGAAACGAGGCATTCCATCTTAGTCCTCACGGGTGACAACTCATCTGCATTTAAATTCTTGATTGAGGATGTAGATGTCTATGGTCCACAGTAACCAGTTACCATCAGGTGGACTGTGTGCTCGTTTGTCACATTTATCCTATAAAAAAATTAGGCCTTGATAGACGAAGGACAAATGTACCCATACAGCCTATATCGATTTAGACTTTGTGCAATCGATTTATTTTGGTAAACAGTATTAATTTTTACCTCTGTAGGTGACACTACCTGTTAAAATAATAGAGCGCTAAATTTCAAACACGTACATACATAAAATAAATAATATATTTTAAAAGTCAGGAATACAATTTATTTTTTTCATCAAACTAAATGAAACGCTTATGAGGCGTGCACTTTCCAAACTATTTAAAAATATTAATAGCAAAAAAATATAATGTAATATTTAATGTCGTAAAAACTTAATTGTTAATGTTAATATAAAATATTAAATGTAAACATTTTTAACTTTTCATTGTGGGTTCGATTTTTGGACGGAAAAATTTCAAAATATCTTAATGTTATGAGTTCCTTGCAGTCCGGTAGGCGAAGTGTATAGCGAACCCTCACTAGATGAAGTGACGACCTGGTAAGACATGCAGGAAGTCGATGCAGGTGGCTCAGGACCGTGCATTGTGGCATTCATTGGGGGAGGCCTATCTTCAGCAGTGGACTGGTGAAGAGCTATAATAATGATGATGATATTGAAGAGTTCCCTGAAGTCCGATTCTAATATTTTCAAAGTTTTTCAGTTTGTAATTGTGTGTGTGAACACATTCATATTGTAGTGAATTGTTTTTATCACGCATAGGTATTTCGGGGAGTAGTTGATATTGATCTTTATGTGACGCGTAACTACAAAAACCTAAGTAATCAGGACTCATTAAATCCGTTTCAGCAGTAAGCATAAAAACAACTTGTAAAGTCTCAAAATGGACAGTAATACAGATGCATATTTTGAAATGAAATGATGCCTCTACCCAACAGTGGAATGATTGTTAACTGTTTGTCAGTAGACTCATTTTTGACAAGACCTAATATTGTCACTTTATTATTTGAGAGACTTCTTTTACAACAGTAGGTAATTGCACATAAGGTATATATGTGTGTTTAAAGACAAAAAAGAACCTAACTGTGATTATAATTGTAAAAATAAAGTAATTTATACTAAACAGTTCTCACGTGCGGTTTTATTACTAAAAATGCCAAAAATCAATTGTTGTCCGTTAGTCTCGTTAAAACTTTAAAACGGCTCGAACGATTATGATGATTTTTTGTGTGCTTTTGAATGGTTCCTTGGATGATTTAGATACACAATTGGACCTGGTAGGTGGCGCTGCTGTCGAGATCCAGAAATCACCCGTGCGAAGCCGAGGCGGATCGCTAGTTTTTTTTTTTTATATTAATTAAAGGTATCTAAGGTATATTATGTTATCACTTTTATTAAAACAACACATTTGACAAATAATTATTAGAACAGTAGGTACATCATTATTTATATGTGAGGAAGTATTAGTTCCGTGCTCACTAAACCAACAGTTCAGCGTTGTGTACTCGTATCTAACTAAATACTACGAGTATGTTAAAAATAATGTATGTAGTATTTAGTGTTCGCGTAAATATAAGAAATCATTAGTATTTATATTTCAACATAGTATTTAGTTAGTATAGTAGCATTTATAGGTGGTAGGCATCGATCATTAATAAAAAACGGTAGGGCTATATAATGTGGTTGTAGCACGAATGGGTCGGCTCGACGGGGGTAGGACCATGCTCTCACAGAATACCAGCGTAAAAAAGCAGCTTAATGCTGCTGTGTTTCGTATGATGAGCCTAGAGAACCGGAGAAACTTTTTTCTGGAAACGAAGCATTCCATATCAGTCCTCAGGGGTGACAAAGCTTCTGTATTTTGATTCTTAATGGAGGATAAATGTAGATGTCTATGAGTCGCAGCATCCACCTACCATCAGGTGGACTGTGTGCTCGTTTGTCACCCTTATTCTATAAAAAATAGTTCAGGCGGCGAGAGAGGTGTCGTGATATTACGAAATGGAAGTCCGGTAGTCCCCCTCTGGGTGACAAGCTCATGCCTGTTTATGGTAAATGTATGTAGTTATTCAGCAGTAGAAATGTATCTCCTAAAGATTGAGATTAAGTTCCTTTTTAAGCCAAAGAGTCTGTCTAGGTTATTACCATCTTTATACCTATTTCTAACGCAATGCCGCAGTGCAAGGTGCACTGCTGCACGATTAGCATGGGCTAGGGACAAAAGTTTTATCCCCCGATTATATCCACTGACAAGAGATAAAATTATCTTGTCCCTATGCCAAAGCACGGCAACGGGGAGAAGTATATCCCGTTTGACTTAACGAGTAGACATATATATATCCCCCGTCTGTAGCATGAAACCAAATTAAAGATAAAAAATTATACTTTTATGACATTTGAAAGGGACAATTCTATCCTAGTTCATTGGACGTGGGCTTAAGTTTATATTCATACAAAAAATGTATCTAAGTCTATCTCCCATTTTATCTACTGTGGATATTATATCTACCGATGTGCCCATGCTCGAAGGGTGGATAAAACTAAGCGAGGGGATAAACATTTTCTCCTTTCCCAGGGGATAAAATTGTCTCCTGCCCATGCTAGCCCTGCTGTGTGTTTGAAGGTAGTAGGGTTACATTACAGGCTATGCAACATTACATCTTAATTGCATGACAGCGCATCCGAAGTCTTCTTTGTTTAAAGTCGCGTTCAGGTTTAGAGCTTGGTGGTAGGACTCCTTATCTGTTAGAAGTCCCTCTGGGAAGGTACCACCACCTTCTTACTTATTTCTACCGCCATACAGCAGTGCGTGCACAACTGTGTGTGACTAATTCCAGCCGCTCAATTTCACCATCGCACATCGCGAAAAAACTCGCGATACCATCCATACCATCTGGATGATTGGCGGTCCACCACTGTGCGAGTTAGAAGAAGTTTTCTCCCTCGCACAAATTCCTTGTGGAATCGATTACCACCAGAATTTTTTCCGGACTGATACGACTTAGGGACCTTCGAGAAAAGAGCCTACTCTTTTTTAAAAGGCCGGCAACGCATCTGCAATTCGACTGGTGTTGCAGTTGTCCATGGGCGGCGGTAGTCACTTACCATCAGGTGAGCCGCATGCTCGTTTGCCCCCTCTCGTATAAAAAAAAACTGTGTTCCGGTCTTAACTGTGTAGAGAGCCAGTACAGTTACAGGCTGTGATCTTAATCGTCAGAAATTACAACGTGTCTGTAGCCTTCTTTATTTAAAGTTGGTTACTGGTGCCTGGTGATAGTCATTTCAATTTTATAAAAAAGATAAAATTAGTAGTTTTTGAACCATAATGGTAGCAATTGTACTTCCTAAACAACAGTTTTTTTTTAATCTGCCAAGCTTCTTAAATGTCAGTTAATGCAGATATAACAATAGGTAAAGCTAATTCAGGCCTACGAGTCTTAAAATTAATATCAATATCATCTCTTCGCGAATTACCATCCCAATGCATAACTTATGTGCAGTGCAGATATAGTCATTAGTTGTAAGCGCCGTGCTGCAAAAATTCCGCTTGCTAATTGAATTCCCATGCATCTGCAGTTGAGAACTCAAGAAATTGCATATCAGATATCAGAGGTAGCTTTCACCGTTTTGCTTCTATAGTACTCAAAAGTAGCGTTTATAGAAATTACATTGCTGTTGTTAACTTTTTTGTTACTTTGAGGCTATGACAAGGCGCCTTATTTTTAGATTTTGTAGCCTAGCGAACGATCGAGTACAATCGGTCGCTCCAGTAAAAAGTACCGTTTCCGCCAAAGAGATTTATATACTACAACTTAAATGTCTTTGGTTTCGGCAAAAACGATTACCTCGAATAGGTATATGAGGGCATAAATAAGTACTTGACTTTCGTTTCTGTAAGTTATCTATGCGAATATGTACAGAAATATATTGTTGTATAAATCTATTTCCTAAAGGAACTCCATCCGCGGCTGGTCGCTGCTGCATTCTATTATACTAATTTGTCTACCGCTGCCATGTTCCTATGTTTGGGTTTTTGTCACAAATAAATTATTTTAAAAACTAGGAACCTAGTAAAATTACTAAAAGTGCCAAGTATAACGCCGTTATTAGACGTTCAGCAAACACATTTAAGGAATATTAAATATAAAAGAAAAACATGTGAAATGAAAACATAAAAGAAAAACATTCCTCCTACAGTGGAGCGATAGGTCCAAAGGAAACAATCAAAGGAAGTCACTTTTTGAAAGGGTCAGAGTTGCAATTGTTTCCTTCGTTTATTGAACTCGGTCGTTCAGGCACAGAGCGACAGGTAATCGGTCGTTATGTATTATGTTAGCGGCCAAACCCGATTTCAGGCCAAACTAGTTTTTCTTAGACCAAATCGGTGTGGATACACCTACGCGTGTCAGGTGTACTAGCCGAGGACAATCTAGTTTAGCCTGAATACTTTAGGCTTAACTAGTTTGGCCTAGGCAGAACTGATTGAATCATTGCATATCTTTTTTTTAACATGGGG